TGGGAAGGAGCTTTATTACCACTTGACTATATGTTGGTAGTTAAACACAAAATTTTAACCAAAAGAAAACATGAAAATCGTCATAGACATGGAAGTAGTCCTAAGACTGTGGCCCTAAGCACTGTAAAAAAATTCTCTTTGGCCCGGCACGGTGGTTCATGCCTGTAATCCTAGCACTCTGGGAGGACGAGGTGGGCGGATTGTTCGAGGTCAGGAGTTCGAAACCAGCCTGAATGAGACCCCATGTCTACCAAAAATAGAAAGAAATTAATCGACCAACTAAAAATATATAGAAAAAATTAGCCGGGCATAGTGGCGCATGCCTGTAGTCCCAGCTACTCGGGAGGCTAAGTCAGCAGGATTGCTTAAGCCCAGGAGTTTGAGGTTGCTGCGAGCGAGGCTGATGCCACAGCACTCATTCTAGCCTGGGCAAAAAAGTTAGACTCTGTCTCAAAAACAAAAACAAAAACAAAAACAAAAACAAAAACATTCTCTTAATAAAACTATAGAGGTAATAGTCATAGGGACCACCAAGAGACATTAAACACATACTCAATCATGATTTATCTTTAATATATTTCAGATTGCTGACTAGTCCACGACCCAGATCTACTAAGAAACATAGAAAAAGTAATCATGGGAAAATGGAAAAGTTTCTGTAGCAGGACTTTTACCAGATAAGAAGGGCACAGATTTCCTCAATATCCTTTGCCCAATGATTTTAAAGCAATTTAAAAAGCAATGATTTTACCCATTTTAAAGAAAAGAGAGACATTTAAAGAAAATTCTAAAGCTACCTCTTTATGTCTACCTGCCAAAATAATGCAGAGTTAAGAAAAATAGTAAGGTGTGCTTGTCCACCAATATTTTCAAACTGGAGTTGGAGAAATTACTCAAGATGCTGCTTACGCTTTCTCTTAATATAGAGAGTACTGAGGAAATACAACAACTTTTCTCAAATGGTACAGCCTATCAAATAAGACAAAAATAGATGTTATAACCATTGTGGTTTGAAGTGACACTATTTGTTTAGATTCACAACAAAACAAATACCACTTGACTGTGACAAGAAAAAGCTTTATTCTAAAATGTACATTGGCCAAAACTATGGCTAGTAGTTCCTCCCATGTCCAAGACTAAGATTATACTACTGGTAAGTACTATTTCTTTTTTCTTTTCTTTTTTTGAGACAAAGTCTCACTCGGTTGCCCAGACTAGAGTGCTATGGCGTCTGCCTAGCTCACAGCAACCTCAAACTCCTGGGCTCAAGTGATCCTCCTGCCACATCCTTCCGAGTAGTGGGACTACAGGCACATGCCACCATGCCTGGCTAATCTTTTCTATTTTTAGTAGAGACAGGGTCTCACTCTTGCTCAGACTGGTCTCGAAATCCTGAGCTCAAATGATCCTCCCACCTAGCCTTCCAGTGAGCTAGGATTACAGGTGTGAACCACCACACCTAGCCGGTGAGTATTATTTCTTAAAATAACATAATGGGGTAATAGACACACATCAAATAAATACTTCAATCTAAATAAAACAAGTGAAGAATCTCTCTAGAGCCCACAATGAAGAACTTATAATGCTGAATGAATCACAAAATGCATGCAGAATGCATTCATCTTTGAGACAAAGCAAGAAGGAGGCTTGGGAGACAACAAGAAAAAAATTCACCTTATAAATAAAGCAATTTCTTTTCAAGTAAATGGTAGAAGTCAAAAAAGGAAATCATAAGCTAGGGCATTCTTCTGGAGAACTGCAGACTTAATATAACTATAAGCAAAACCCATAATATGCAGTTTAAGCCAGATGGCAACCAACACAAAGAAGAAACAGAACAATTCTCTCAAAGTCAAATAAATGCCTCCTGAAAAATGAACTGTTGCCATCTCCATCACAAAATCCGAAGGTGAGATTCTTTAAAAAAATTTTTGAGAATAAAATTTTATCTTTTACCTGACACTGTTGCTTCTTACAAAGAAAGAAAATAGTCTCAGCCTATCTCTAGCATGTTTCTGCACTGGCGTTCAAAAACCTGTATGTCAGATTAAGAGCCAAGGAGAGTTAATTATAGAAACAAGAACATCTAAAGCAAATTTTCAACAATTTTAGCTATCTCATATTTTTCTTGTCCTTCTTTCTTCAACAAACTGTGGTGCCAGACTGTCTGGGTTCCTATCATGGTTTTGTCAACTTGCCTGCTGAATGACCTTGTCAAGTCACTCATTCTGCCCCTGAGGTTCTTCACCTGTAAAATGGAGATAATAACCTACCTTACCCGACTGAGTCAGAATTAAATGATTCAACATGTGCTATGGTACATGTTATAGTACATACAAGGTATGTACCACATAAATATTTTTTAAATAAAAATGAATCAAAAAGAAATATTTATTAAGCCAAGCCCTATGTTAGGCTCTGGGTGTACAAACACCAATGCAACAGGATGTCTGTTTTGCAGAAAAGCTTGGTAAAGGAGATGAATGTATATGCAATGATTACAAAGTAACACGAAACGTGCTATTACAGAGATGGGCACAGTCTATTTGTGAATACAGAAAGAGGACATTTAACTTGATCACAAGGTAAGTGGGAGGAGGGGAGAGAATCATGTCAGTGTCCCCATTCAGGTTCAAAGTCTTCACGATGCCCTTCTCACAAGGAAGTAGACTTATTGGATAAATTTGCTTAGTTCCCAAAAGGAAAGAAAAGATGGTGCTTACCTTTATTCAACCTACAGTAGCCTGTCACAAAGAACAAACCAGACAGCATAGATATGAGGTGATGTTCTCCACTTGGTATTCAAAAGGATTATTTTCCCTCTCCAGGCTCAAATGGTAGAGCCTACAAATGGTCTTAAACTTTGTTCCATTTCATTGTTTCTAAAGCATAATCTAAAACTTGACACCTAGATACTTCCTGAAAACATGGTTTAAAATTTTCTCATGATTAAGTAAAAATGATAATTAAAATGTCCCTTTTTGAGGGTGTAATCTCTCCATATGATTGGGCAACATTTTCATTCTAGTACTTGGGATTTTTTTTTAGTTTTTTCTCTCAAGGCTAAGGTTAAGGGAGGCAGTGTTAACTATGATTCGTCTCTAGTGAAAACTCCCAAGAAATCATTAGCTTAAATATAAATCACTAACACCTGGGAAAATTTTATTTTCCCTCAATTTCAGAAGTAGATAGAAAAGGGTTGGGCTTTCTTATCTATTATAGATGTCTTTAGGGCCCCCTAGTGACTATTTGACTCTCAGTCTATATCCTTAAGGTTTTCAGACTATTAATAATGGTGAATGAAAGGTTCCTCTGCCTCCCCTCTCAAACGCTTGACAAATGGGTTGCCCTTCAGTTTTGTGCCCTCTTCACACACCCATGTCATGCAGAGGGAGGAAGCAGAAATGTAAAAACAAAGGTCAGCAATTTGATCTTCATGCTACAATTTTCTCTAACCCACCCAAAAACAATAGGCAAGGGCCATCCTAGAAACTGCTTGATTTGTTTTCAAAGTGTTAGGGAAACATCATATAAAAATATTAAGAATAGCTGCTACCTTTCTCTGCCCCTTTTTATAAGCTACATTTTCAGAAAACAGAACAAAAAAAAGTATTTCAAATTAGAATACAAACAAACCATTTATACTTTGGCTGTTTCTTGAAAATTTTGTGACTTCAAACAAAAATATGTTAAAAATCTCAGCTATATCACATTCTAGCAAAATATTTATTTTACTCTTCCATAGGAGTGAACTTTAGGTCCAAAACTGTAGTCTCTTTTTTTTTGAGACAGAATCTCACTCAACAGAGTGCTAGAGTGCCATGGCATCAGCCTAGCTCACAGCAACCTCAAACTCCTGGGCTCAAGCAATCCTGCCTCTGCCTCCGAGGAGCTGGGACTACAGGCGCATGCCACCATGCCTGGCTAATTTTTTCTATATAGTTTTAGCTAGTCAATTAATTTATTTCCATTTTTAGTAGAGACGGGGGTCTCACTCTTGCTCAGACTGGTTTCGAACTCCTGACCTTGAGTGATCCACACACGTCGGCCTCCCAGAGTGCTAGGATTATAGGTGTGAGCCACCGCGCCCAGCCCAAAACTGTAGTTTCTTTAGCCAAAATACTAACCATCCAAAAAAGTTGTTCCTAGGTTGAAGAGCAAGGGTGTTCTTTAAAATGTTTGCAAAAATCCCTAAAATCTGATCTTTAGGACCTGATACTATTCAAAGGGGAAGATAACACTTTAGTATATTATCCATATTTTGATACTTAATATGAATGACTTTGACCCTACTACAAAGTTCTTTCTATAATGTTTTAATATATAAAGCTTATCTTCATCCATTTGAAGATTTATACTCATAGGTATGAAAAAATAATCAAGTATCAGTTGCTAGAGAGAAAGAAGTGTGTCTTTAGAGCTTGTTTCACATCACAACTGGCAGGGTTCTGAACATTTATTTAATTACCTAATATATACCATTTGGTAATATGTATATAAATGTTTACATATAAATATATATATATTGATGTGATTAATATATGTATATAAACATATGCAAAATATTCTAATTTTCTCTAATTAAAGTTTTTGTATGTCACCAGGTCACTTTTATTATTCTAAGAAAATTACAAACATGAGTTAGGAAAGGCTTATTAGTGTTTTCCATAAGGACAATTGAGTAACAAATAACCCACCTGATCTTCATTAACAGAACAGTGAGTTTTCTTTACCATTCCTACCGTGCTTCATACAACCAGAAGCTTCCCCACTGACCACAGCCTGCTTCAAACAATCTCGTTCCTACCTCTGCCCCCCCCACCCCCATAGGAGAAGAAAGGAAAGAAGGCAGTACAAGACACCAACTCAATCACATTCTGTATCTGCATATTGTAAAACAATATTATATACTGTGAGGCAATTAATATAAAAGCCAAATGACTCCTTTGACACATTGCTGATCCATTAAAGACAAGAAAGGTAAGAATAAAGATGCTTACCTGCTGTTCCTGCTTTCTAGCTGCACCAAGTTCTGAAAGTGACATGGTGAGCTTCTCCTGCTGTTCTGATAGGTATTTCTGATAGAGGCTTAGAAGTTCTTGGCATTCTCTATACTGTAGCTGAAGAGGTGAGATTGCAAATTAAGGGAAAAAAAGCTGAAAAACTGATTCAACCTGCATCCATCAGTGCTGCTTTTGTAATTCCAATAAATGAAACAGAGACAGAAATGCAATGATATTTGGTGACTTTATAGAGAGTATAAAGTCTCTAGATGAAAAGAGTACATGCACCCCTCCCAAATCATAAAACAATAATTCACAAAGGGAGTACTTATGATCATTCTATTTAAAGACAAATTTATCTCTCAATTCTTTAAATGTGAAAACATAAAAACAAATGCAGACACATGCAAAGGAACCCCTGCCTCACACCATATAAAAAAACTAACTGAAAATAGATCATTGATCTATATGTAAAAGTTAAAACTATAAAACTTTTAAAAGAAAAGTACATCTTTGTGACCTTGAATTAGGCAATGATCACTTAAAAACACAAGGAACCAAAGAAAAAGTAGATAACTTGGACTTCAAAATTTAAAACTTGGCTAGGTGCAGTGGCTCATGCCTATAAACCTAGCACTCTGGGAGGCCAGGAGAGTAGGAAGTAGGAGGACTGCTTGAGGCCAGGAGTTCAAGATCAGCCTGAGCAAGAGTGAGATCCCATTCCTACAAAAAATAGAAAACTTAGCCAGGTGGGGTGGCATGTGCCTGTAGTCCCTGGTACTCAAGAGGCTGAGGCAGGAGAATCACTTGAGCCCAAGAATTTGAGGTTGCAAGGAGCTACGATGATGCCACTGCACTCTAGCTTGGGCAACAGAGTGTGACTTGTCTCCAAGAAAAAAAAAAATTGTGCTTTGTGCTTCAAAGGACACTATTAAGAAATTGAAAGAGACAACCCCAGAATGAGAGAAAATATTTGAAAATCATATGATAAAGGACTAGTGTCCAGATATATAAAGAACTCATACAACTCAACAATTAAAAAGATTATTAACCCAATTAAAAAATGGGCAAAGGCTTTGAATAGATATTTCCCAAAACAAAATTTACAAATGACTAAGAAGCACAAGAAAAGATGCTAAACATAATTAGCCATTAGGGAAATGCAGACCAAAAACCCATTGAGATACTACTTCACACTCACTAGGATGGCCATAATCAAAAAGACTTACAATAACAATTATTTATGAGGATGTGGAGGAAATAGAACCCTCCTACATAGCCAATAGGAATGTGGTATGCTGCCACTTTGGAAAATAATTTAGCAGTGTTTTAAAGAGTTAGACATAGACATACCATACGACCCTGCAATTCTACTCCCTGGTATATACCCAAGAAAACCAAAAACACATGTCCACACAAAAACTTATACATACATATTCAGAACAGCATTATTCACAGTAGTAGAAAAGTGAAAACAATCTAAATGTCCACCAATTGATAAATGAATAAACAGAATGTTGAATAGCTATATAATGAAATATTATTTCATCATAAATTAGAATGAAATATTGCTGCATACTACAATATGGATGAACCTTGAAAACATTATGCTGAATAAAAGCAGCCAGACACAATAGGCCATATATTGTATGATTTAATACATTTACATAAAATGTTCAGATTAGACAAATCCATACAGACAGAAAGTAGATTAGTGGTTGCTAGGGGCTGAGGGAGAGGAAATGGGGAATAAATGCTAATAGGTATGGGTTTGGGGGAAAGGTAATGAACATGTTCTGAAATTAGTGATGTTGTTTGCACACCTTTGGGAATATACTCAAAACCATTTAATTGTTCACTTCAAAGGGAGAATTTCATTGTATGTGAATTATATCTCAATAAAGCTATTAAGAAAAAATTAAATGCTGGGTAGAAGTGATAACTTCTGTTCTGGTAAAAATATTAATAATTACTGCCAATTTACACAGAAAGTTCCTAACTATATTAAACATAAAGGGATTATAATTTGATTTTTGCTTTGTTTTGCATAAGTCAATATTTCATTAATAAAACCATCACCAGGGAATTTTCTGCCCAAATACCTCCATACGTTTCTTACAGTTTCATATAAAGAGCACAGCAACCTAACCTGGGGTACACTCTCTCACAGCTCCTAAAACTTGCAAAGTGCTGAAGATGAAAAAACTAAATAGGAAAGGTCAACTAACTTCATAGCTTAGGTGCCTGGGAGACAGTTCTATCCAACAGAGAGTTCTGTTCCTCACTTCTCATTGTGATAATTTCTTCCCCTGGCTCCTTTTTCCTTCAGATCATTTCTGAATCTTCCCCTTAACACTTACTTATGTACGCCCTTGGTATAAGAATTACTGTCCAATGGGATTATTCTGTATAAATACTTTTACAACAAGTCATCATGATTAAGGGTGGGAATAGTATTTCTTAAATGTCAAAAATGGTGACTGGTTTCAGTATTCCTTAACATTTTCATAACCTAATCATTGCTTCTGGGCAGATTCCTATTCTAATAACGTTTGCCAATCATGACTACATAAATAACCAATTGCTTCATTATTCTCATTATTAACCTTTAACAAAAAAAAGGAGCCAGAGATGGGCCACAGAAGAGGAGCTGGTTCACAGGGAAAGGACAGGTTACCAAGCTTAGAGAATACATTAATTAGAAAAGCTTGTTGAATACTCGGCATCTTAAAAAACAACAATAACAATAGTATGAATGGTGGTCTAAATAACCTAATAGGTTTTCAAAGTCAATCTGTGTTAGACCAGGCTGGTTTTACATTTCCACACTTTTTGTCAGCAAGCTCCAAAAGACGGGAATGATTTGTGGTGGTCCCAGGAGTCTCTGCCAGCTATTATGTATATAAAAAGAATTTTTTATTCTAGCTGTTACCATAGGCAGTAATTTTTATAGTAGGTGAACATATTAGCCTGGTCACAGAATATGAATTTTACTCTGAAAAATCAAGCACAATTATACAGCCTAGGAGTTAAATGTCAGCATTTGAGACAAATTATAGGCAAATTCATTTAAACACATGCTATGTGGCAGAATATAAAAACAGGTAGTCCTACCTTTATCAGATTTTTATGTCTTTCTTGATACACCAGATTTCAAAATGCTCTCTTTTTCCTTCCTCCCTAGCACAATGAGACTTCAACCTTCCATCTGGAGAGAGGGATTTATGTTAGGAAAATGTGGGTAAAATGTCCTCTTCATTGATTTGGGGGGTACAATGAAAGAGAAGACATATTTAACTCAATCTTGGCCAACTGACAGAAAAGAATGCAATAGATGTAGAAAAGCAAACCTAAGGGAAGGTGTACACCAAACCATCACATGAATTTAACACACTGGAGTCTGCCCAACCACCATTTATGAACTGAGAGAAACAGCAGTCATCACAACCTCTTCAAACAAAGAAGTCCTCATAGGATAATATAAATAAATATAAATTAATATTAAGCATAATCACATCAAAACCTACACGATGAATTAATTAGCTGAAATGGCTACAGAAAATGGTCATTTATCATGCTTAAAGTTTTATCATGCTCTTTATCATGCTCTAAAATATATTATATACAAAAATAAAATTAAAGATCAAAGCAGAATGAATAAAGAAATGAGTGAAAGAATAAAAACTCTGCCAGAGAAAAATCAGAAGTGAAGGGAAGAAGAACCAGAGCTAAGATATACTACTAGTAGGCTGCCAAAGTATAAATAGATTGTCTTAAGCTGGAAGAATTCCTCTGGCCTACCAGAGCCCACCCCTAACAACCCGCCTGACCCTTGCCTCTGATAGCTGGGATGTTTGGATCTGGTACTTGGTAACCCTGATCTAACAGAGAACCAAATGAAGGAGGCCTCTGTGAGAAGAGAAAAGGTGAATCATTAAATTAAATCTCCTTTCTTAGAATCAAGAATAATTGGGGAAAATGGCTGAATTCCATTCTGGGGTAGGGAAAGTACAAAGTGAACTTGAAACATCTTGTTGTGCTATAATGCAAGAAAGTTTTCAAAGACAGATAGGGGCTTGTCACAGGAATAGGAGCTAGCCTGAAGAGGAACTCTCATTAGCCAAATTTGGGACAACTTGAGCACTAAAATAAATAATCACTCTAATTAATAGAAAACTGAATAAATAAAAATCCACCAGTTCACAGTGACACTTTAAAAGCAGAGAAAAGGATCGAAGGGAAAAAAAGTGAAGTTCTTCTTTACAGAAGAAGGTATTCTAGCTAATTACTTAGAAAGAATGGTCAAATTTTAAAATCAACATTTTATAATAGCCAATGTAGTAACTAATTCAGGCAAGGATCATTAATAATTACTAAAACCATTAGGTGAAAGGTTAATGAATAAGATATTCATAAGGTGTCAAGATTACTTACATCAAAAAATAAAACGTACATTTAAATGACAAAATATGATGGTCACTACCCAAATGAAGTGAATTAATTTAGGATCTCCAATAGTGGAAAAATGGAAATTATGTACTTCCTATTATATGATGTAGGCAACACTGCCTATGAAATAATCTTAACAAATATTTTAAATCTGAATTTAATCAAATCTGTAAACCTAACTCCCACTTCACAGGAATTAGAAGGAATAAAGGAACAAGTTAAATTACACCACAAGGAAACAATCAGACAAATTCAGCATATGGGAGATTTTGTAAAACACTTGGCTTTAACTCTTCAAAAGGTTAATGTCATGGAGGAAAAGGTTTGGGGTAGTAGGTTTATTCTAGATTAAGAGACCAAAGACATAACCAAATGCAACCTATGGATCCTTGCTCAAGGGAAAAAACAGCTATAAAGGACATTCTCTGGATAACTAGGGAAATTGGAATATGGACCCAATGACAGTTGATATTAAGGAATTGCTATTAGTTTTCTTAGGTATCATAATGTGGTTTATAAAGTGAAATGTTCTTATTCAGGAGATGAGTCTGAAGTATTTAGGGGTGACATATGATACCTGCCACTTTTAAGTGGTTCAGAAACAAAGTAACCAAATAAAGTTTTGTTTATGTGAGTAAATAAATATATTTATATCTCTATACATTTATATTCTAGA